CACAGAAAGCGATATGACGGTAACTTTTAAGTTAATGTTTTCTTAATTTTTGTATTTAACTACTTAATTGGAATCTCTAGAAACATACAAATGTATTTAAAAAGTCTTTTCATTTCCGTATGCTTTATCTGTATCTTGGGTTAAATACTCAGATCGATGACCCCACAAATGTGTTTCGAAATTTAAAGTACCTATACATGTAAAAATCATGCAAAAGGTGATATACTGCACAATGATCCATGTATGTAAAATAAAATGTTTTGTATTAGGGTTAATATGAAAACCTTTTCAAATAAATCTAAAGATAGTTCTCTGATAGTCATTTATGTATATATTTACATTTGAAAATATTTTTCTTCAATGAAACTAGTGAAGAGAATTTCTGTATGAACTTACTAGGGGGTCAGAGATCATAGCGTGACCGAATCATACGGCGAGATAATATCTTGCCTTCACATTTCTGTCGCAGTGAGGCTGGTTTCGGAATTTCCAGCTTGATAAAGATAAAGTAATTAAAAGATATGGATATTTTTTTGTCAATCAAAAGATGTCCCTTAGATGATTAAATCGTCATTCGGGGTGAAGATTGGTTTGAATGTTAATAAAAATTGCCTTGCATTTTTAACCCGCAATTCCATTGAAGATATGTAAACTTAAACAGACAGCTTTTGACTTAACATAAATAATGAACTCACAGAACAGTTAGATTATTTTCGATATCGATCATTGTTCTGTTATTATGGATAGCTGTAGAGATTTTCTGAAGTTGGTCGCAGAAAATCAATATTAACATTCAAATGTCTTTCATGACCAAATAACTTCCAGTTCTAGGTCACTGCATGTCACAAAATAGTGAACGGCGGGCCGTTTGTGTAATATTTCTATTAGAATATTCGTCTAAGATGTAAATACGAGGGGTTATCAAAGAGTTCATTGACTGATGCGATAAAATCAATACTATGTAGTCTGTGCTTACAACATTTATAAAAAAAAGTTAACATAAAACAAGAAAAGTTTAAGAAATGATGAAAGTTTTAGCTTAATTGATGCTTTGAAAATTTGCCATATTACTCTGAAATAAAAATAATATTATATGATCACCCGGCGCTGTCGCCATTTAGTTTCATGATGTCCGACAACGTCATTGTTTCTCAACGTCCGCTCTCTCTACCTCATACACATAACTTGATGAGATTACCTGGAGTTAAGTAAAGACTTAGACCCGCCTTGTTTATATGTCTGTACAATGTCATGAACAGCTGCTTTCAATGCATATAATATTCTAAATGGATCTATACATATACGGAAAGATCCTCACTTGATTATACCAGAATACTTGGCTTGTTGGAGTTCAATTCCTACCACATATGATCAACGTCACTTTTGTGCGTGATTGACTTTAGACACCCTGACTACAAACCAACATTAACTATCTATCTGATTCTTTTTGGGCATTAAAAAGTACTCTGGAAGCAATTTATTTTTCTGTACCCCGTTTAAACATTTCCTAGGTCTATAACAGTTTTTTTTTCCAGGTTCGAAACTTTATAGAATGCTGGAAAAAGCCCCCCCCCTTTTTTTGACGTCATTTTCAAGCCCTTAATTTTTTGGACACTCCATTTAAAATTTACGATAAAATTGCATAGAACTCACAGAATGGGGTTAAAATTGCAAACTTTACGAACTGTTGTGTCGTACCACATGCCTGAAATAACGGGATATTTTTATGATAAATCTCATATCAAAAGAGTTTTTTTCTCAGTTACACTCAGGTAGAAAAAAACGTTATATTTGAGGTTGCACCGACTGGACATACCTATGCTTACAAAAACATTGACAAATTATTAAAAAATAAAACTCATGATTTTAGGGAAAGAGGTCAAAATTTCAGTCAATTGAGCAATGAGGCTATGGTTTATTTTTCTAACTATCAAATATATTAGTCAACCATTGTTTCATGTATGTTCACAATAGATAGATAGATGGATATACGCAGTACACTTAAGGTTCAAAATGGAAATATCGGCAAATTTTTTAGATAAAAAATACATTCTTTACAAGGAATTGTGATTCTTTTTAGGAAATTACTATTATCGGACAAATAGTTTTCAAAACTATACGTTGCGTACCATTAGACTTCATATTCAAATTTAATGGCAACAAAGGGCTTTTTAAGTTCGAATAGTAATTTGATGATCTAGTGAAAGAAAGAAGATCGTTATTATTATGTTCATTCTAGGTGCCCGGTTTTTGTGAGCTTGAAAAGAGATGTGTCCTTAGTTTTGCAATTTGTAATAAAATATCGCGTGTCACAGTTAGGGGAATAGTTTAAAATATTTTCAATGAAATAAATCTTTATACCCTTATTCCTCTTTTTCTAGTGGTTGTGTTTGTTGGTAAGTCGCTCCAGATATTTTCGTACTCGACATGATATATATTTGCCGTACGATGTGTTGAAAAAGAGTACCAAATCCCCGGATGTACACGTGGTTTTGTTTGTTATGGAAAGTAGGATAGAATACTGAATAGTGTGCGTTACCTTATTGGCTGAATTCAGATATGTACTTTTCTTCATTTAAAGTTTGTTTGTTTGTATGTTGTTTAACGTCCCTCTCGAGAATTTTTCACTCATATGGAGACGCCACCACTTGCCGGTGGAGAGCTGCAAATTTTGTCCTATGCTCGGCACTCAGGGCCATTGAGCAGTGAGGGATCTTTATCGTGCCAGCACCTACTGCGACACGGGACCTCGATTTATACGGTCTCATCCGAAGGACCGGTCTCCACGTCCCACAGTGGGATTCATTTAAAGTAAAAATATTAAATGTTTGAATTAAATGATGGAATGTAGAAAAATATAGAAATATCAGGCGAGATTGTAGCAGTGGGGATTGATATTTTTTGCAGAGTGTCAGAGTGTTACTGCCGATCGCTATAAGTTGTAAACAACTGCAATTTTGACCTATAAACGCCTCGGAACCATATATTTTTGGGAGCTTTTTTGTAAGCGCATAGAATTAATTTTCAAACAGTGCTAAGGATTTGTCTGAAAGTGATATGGTAAATTACTGAGAGGGCATAAGGTTTGTATAGAGTCGTATGGGAAAATAATAAGTACTCTTTTCCCTATAATCAAGTATTGCAGGTGTGACAGCTTGTACGGAAAATTCTCGTGTACGAAGGGGTACAAAGGGTGGACGCAGGTTTATCAGACATATCCACACCGTCTGTGGTGGGCTGTTGAGACCTGTGGGACATCAACTTGGGGTAATAATGATAACCTGGTGCATATCTTGGGTGGTCGATCTGTCAGGAACATTAAAGTCCTATCAGGTACAGGCAATAGTTATAGATATGCAAATAAGAAATCATCTGGTGTTAATTATGATAATATTTTCCAGGTATATCCTTTCAAGGAGAGCTTAAAGCAGCTTACATGTACATTTCTACCCATATTTCTTGTACAAGGCCCGCTAGGACACACAGTTCAGTCGTACGTGACTGTCCGATTTCTTACAGAAATAACACAAATTCGTTCTTCCGCTAAGTTGCTCAAACTTTGCAGTCTTAACAGCAGGTCTTTCAAAAATAAGCCTGTTTTATTACAATTTTTTATTCTTGATGAAAACATTGACGTTTTAGCAATTACGGAAACACGACTGGGCACAAACGTTGATGAAAGTGTTTTTCGCACCCTGGTGACAGTTGGTTATAACATTCCGCGGTGTGATCGTAATGATTGCCGCGATGGTGGAATTGCTGTTATTTTTAAAGAAGGAATCAAACTCTCTCCGATCCATTCTCAAGATTTAAATTTTCATCAGTTCGAACATATTGAATTTCAAATGAACATTTTTGACTTGCGTCCGCATCTGTGTGTAATCTACAGACCTCGGCCTTCTCAACAAAATTGTCTCAGTACAAATGCATTTCTCACGGAGTGGGAATGCTATCTTGATAAATTTAAATCGTCAAAGGCGGATCCAGGGCCGGAGCTCCGGGCGTGAGCCCCCCCCCCCCCCCCCGTTTGATTTTTTTAATTTTTTTTTTATTGTTATAACACTTTCATAGGTATTTGTATAAAACATAAATTTCATCATTTGGTACAAGTTAACATCCGATTACACATATTCTGTCTTGTCTTAATCATATTTACACAGATCTTCTTTTACACACTATGAAAGTTGTTTAGAGAGAGAAAAAAAAAACAACAGAAACAAAAAAAAAGGGGGGGGTGTTAGCAAAAGAAAACCATTATTCTATATTACAAATAATACAAAATGATAAATAATCAATCTAATTTTTTCTTCTTATTATGATCCATAAATATTTTAAAAGTATGGATGAAAATATTGCTGACCCCATACAAGACAGAAACAAAAAGATAAATGAAAGATAACAAAAGTGTATATACAAAACTAAATGGATTGTCTGAGAGAACATGCCTTGTTGTTTTTGAGAGTAGAAAGTTTATACCAAAAACATATAACTGATAGTACTAAAGAGTTAACACTAAACACCTTTAAAAATAATGAAAGTGGGTTTACAGGTGTAGGAAATACAGCATACAGAGTCTTTTCTATTTGTAGAAAAATATGTGAATTCACCCAGCAAGTTGTGAATTAAAATTTTTTTAATTTTTTTTTATTCTCTTTCAAGGGAAACCAGTAGTGGTGTATTGTAATCTTTTTTTAATAATTAGGTTATGTATCTATATGAAACAAACGAGACAATGCCTACAGATCCCTCCGTGTTATGTGACATGTTGAGGAAAAAAAAAACAACTTACATACTGCGTACAGTTTGAGCCAATATATTATCGGGAAAAGCGAGCAGCAAGAACAGGAAATGGCATGTTTCAAAAATTACCGGAATATTATAGGTTGGAAAAAAGAATTCCGGAATACAAGAAAATCGGTAAACACATATTTTACCTTTTAAATATAGCTAACCTGTAAGATAAATTTAGATAAAGACAAGAACTCAATATTAAGCAGTTCTAAAATCATACATAACACTGGGTTTATTTTTCATGGTGTCAAACTGAAGTTGGTAAATTTTTTACCCCACTGAGGCCTGCTTCTTTAATATGGGAGAACCGACGGGGTCCAATGTTGTTTCCATGCCATCGAGACACAACCACCAGTACGTTGTTAACTTCATTTTCAGCTAGCAGTTTTAGTAATAGCCGTCCTGCCCCATGTTGCCCGTCATCATTTGAACCTTCATGGATTTTCCCATCACTGCTTGTGAAACGGTAAGCATAAACGTTATGGCTCGCACTTGGTACGGTTTCGACATGCATGATTTCCTCTAGTGATCGTTTGATCTGTTTATAGGAATCGACTTGGGTGGAATGTGCCATAAACAGGTTTCCTTTGTCCTCAATTGACTTTCCTGGGTTAACGGTAATCTTGACTGCGTCGCTGGTAATCACCTCGTCTGCCGTGGGGAGAGATCCTACTTTCTCTCTGTAGATTGAATTACTCTGAGTAAAAATAAGTTTGTCCCCCTTCATTTTCGTCTCGATATTTCGCTCTGCATATTTTCTTTGAACTTCATATAACTGTTTTCTTCTTTCCCGTATATCCTCTGGTTGTGGTTGGGCAATTCTAATGTCCGACTTCTTTTCTTTTAAAACTTTTATGTGCTTCATTACAAGATCCTTTTGAGCCTTATCAGCAAATTGCACACAAATCGGTCTAGGAAACTTTCGTTGAGCATCATATTCTCCCATTCGGAAGAGTTTCTGTATTTAGAATTCATCTACTACTGTCTCCTCCATTTCCATTTCCGATATAAATACATTTCTCAGAATTTTTGCTAAGTTTTCTGGCGACTTCCTCTCTGGGGTTTTTTCCTCTAGTCCACTAACAATAAATGTATTTTCCATTGATCTTGACTTGAGATCAATTATTTGGCTACTTTGCGAATTTAGGCGGTATTCAAGACGAACTACATAATCTTTGAGTCTGTTCATTTCACGTTCCATTTTTTTCTGGTTATCCTGCAGTTCTGTCACAAGGTATATTGTGTCGTTTGCCTGCTGTTGAACAGTTTCTAGTCTTTCTTGTATGCCATTTTTCGCTCTGATTTCTTTTGTGATTTCATCTATGTGTCGTCCTTGTCCATCGAGCCGTAACATAAAATTCGCCAAAGTAGTCTGAATACTTGTAATGCCCTGCATAATATCCCTTAACTGAACATCTTCCATTTTCTGATTACTTTGATCTCTTTGTTCCATACACTCGTCTCCACTGTCCATTTTATCTAGTCCTCGTTTTTTGGAGATATCCGTCATTGTTAAGATAAAGACAGTTTACATGTACAGTCATAAACAGAATGAGTATCACTCACCAAGTAAACTGACTTACCGAAACTACACAGAACATTTTCCCGATGTTTGACGTTATATATTCTTTCAAAAGTTGTCACATAATACTTCAAAGGCTATCAGAATTAAAGTGCACTTTAGGCTTTCGGATTTCAATAATTTCGAGTTTTTAGGTAAAAACTTTCCTCTCAGAAAATCTTGTCCGTCTACATGTTGGGCATGCGCACTCTCCCTCATTTGATTTTTTTTTGTATGTAGAACTTATATGTCCATTATCCTAAAATCAAGGAAAAACATCTCTAATTGGTAAGTATTTGTCAACCCCGGATCCCCACCAAGGCCTACCCTAGACCCACTTGGGGTTTCAGTGCAGCCCCCCAGACCCTCTGCTTTCTACTGCGCCCCCCGTTACGAAATTTCTTGATTCGCCACTGATCGTCTAAGGAGTTGCTTCTCTTTGGTGATTTTAATTTCCATATCGATGATCGAAATCAGCGTCATGCATCTAGTTTTCCACAAATTCTGGATGATAGGAACTTTATTCAACACATAAACGAGCCCACTCATGTGAAAAGACATTAGACCTTCTAATCACCTGGTCAGCATCTAATATACTTTCTGGTGTTCCAATTGTTAAAGATCCCCACCTATATGACAGTAAAGACAACTCAAAAATGCGGATCATTTGGTAATTCTTGCAACACTCTCCGACAAAAAAAAAAGAAAAAAAAGAACAGATCCAGAAAGGAAAGAAATAACATTTCGTAAAATGCAGACCATCAGCAAAACCGATCTACGGAATGAAATCAAAGAAAAATCTAGTTCTCCCTCAGGACAAACAAACTTATGACAGCCTTGTAGGCTTGTACAATATCAAGATAAGACTCATTGTAGATAAGCTTACTCCAGCGATAATTAAATCTGTCATCGTAAGACCGAACTTACCTCGGTATAGTGAGGAGCTGCGTGAATCTAAACAAGAAAGGTGTAGAATGGAGAGATTAGGGCAGACGGGGCATGGAAATTCATCACCAGCTCCACAAGGAACAGTGTACGCGGACAAGCGCCTTACTTCAGGAAGCAAAGAAGGACTACTATTTTTGCAAAGTTGAGGAAAGTGGCAGAGATCTCAAGCAGCCCTTCAAGCTCACTAAGGACCTCATGGAAAAAAAAACTCGTATTAGTAAGATTTGAAGTTAAAAGTCAAGGTAGAGACACGTATTTATGTTATATCCTCCTCCAGAAAATGCTTTTCATTCCGTCAATATGGTTCATAAGTCGTTTGTTCTAATTTTACTTTTACATGTTCAATATTTAATTATAATGTGAAAAAGAAATGTTTACAATTTTAAAGGACGAAATGTACAGATTTTACTTTCCTATATTATTTCCTCAATCAGATTATATTTGGATACAGCATTATCTTAGAACAATTTTCTGAAATATAGCTAGTTAGTACCTTGTTTGATTTTTTTTTCTTCCTTTGTAGGGCATGGTAGAGGTACATGTAAACATGATACATTATCAATGAAACACGTATACACAGCAAAATGTGCCACGTACGTATCACGTACGTTAAACGTATGTGATACGTACGTGACTTCACGTACGTATCACATGAAAAAAGCACCACGTATGTTAAACGTACCTTTTCACACGTATGAATATCATGCGTGACACGTACGTTAAACATACGTATTGACTACCATACGTTACACACATGTTGCACACGTACGTTATTCATATGGTTCACATACGTTCAACGTGTGTGTAATGTATGTTTTTAGAAACATGCGTTTAACATGTTTGTTAAATGCACTGCTCATATGATAAATGTATAAGTACCATACATGTGCCAAACCATGGTTAAACATATGTTTTGACCACCGAACATTCTTTTTCACATATATATTGTAAACATACGTGAAACAAAAATGATGTGCAATTAAAATATTCATTTCATGCATTTGACATAATTTTCTTCAGGGGCTTATTTTCTTTTCATCTGTTGAATGATCCACATTTTGAAGGTACATATCTGGATATCCTTCACCTCAAATTTCCTGATCCTAATTGCTCTTTAGGCAATCACAACAAAAGACATATTCAAATTTAAGCCAATTTTAATGTTGAGATGTTAACATCAATTCATTCTTCTGCAATTCCCTTTCATCTGTAAAGAAAAAGAAAATATTAAATGAATTTGCATATGGAAAAACACATAGTTTTTTTTCAGAACATTATTATTTTCTACATATAACTCCTGGTTGACTTCCTTTAGAACTAAACTAGAACTGTCCAATATGGACAAATACCCCCCACTGGGTTTTTCAGAGAAGATGCCAAGTCACTAATACTAGTATTTTAGGATCTAAAAGGTGTTCAAAAATTGTTTATACATTTAGAGAGAAAATTTACCAGTAATTGCTCATTATATTTTTTTAATGAATGAAACTTTGGCATAGCCTAGTAAAACAGCAATACTAATGACAATATTGTTTTTTATTACATTGAAAAATTAATAACAATTTTTGAAGTATTTCTCCGTTGGAAAGTATGGATGCATTATTTATCCATTTTTCCTACAGTATGTGACTATAGGTCAGGATCATGACACACCCTCAGGTCATAAACAATCTTTGTGTGAAGTGGATACTCCCAACATCCAAAATTATCCTCCATAGGAAAGATACTGACCGAACACGAATTATGAACTTTTTCTGTCAGTGACCTTGAACTTGTCCAAATGACCTTGGGTCAGGTCATGACACACCTTCAGGTTATAAGCAATCTTTGTGTAAACACGAATTATGATTTTTTTCTGTCAGTGACCTTGAACTTGCCCAAATGACCTTGGGTCAAGGTGATGACACACCCGCAGGCCATAAGAAATATTAATATAACATATGGTTTTGTTGTTCTTGAGCAGAAATTGTGGCCTCTCCCTACCCCAGAGTTCATGATTTGAACAAAATTGAATCTACACTACCTGATGATGCTTTCATATAAACATGATTAATCATGGCTTTTCTGTTCTTTAGAAGAAGATTTTTTCCTATATATTCTATGTAAAACTTTGATCTCCCATTATGGTCCAATCCTATCCCCAGAGGATCATGATTTAAACAAACTTGAATCTACACAGCCTGAGGATGCTTCCATTTCAAAATGACTATTCATGGCTTTGCTATTCTTGAGAAGAAGAATTTTAAAGTTTTTTTCCTATGTATTCCTATGTAAAATATTGATCCCCCATTGTGGCCCCTCCCTACCCCTGGGGGGTCATGATTTGAACAAACTTGAATCTACACTACTTGATGATGCTTCCTTATCAATATGACTAAACAAGGCTTTGCTGTTCTTGAGAAGAAGATTTTTTAAGATTTTTTCTTATATATTCCTATGTAAAACTTTGATCCCCCATTGTGGCCCCAACCAAACCCAGGGCTCATGATTTAAACAAATTTGAATTTACACTTTGACATACAAGGTTTCCTATAAGTTTCAACTTTTTTGGCCCAGTGGTTCTTGAGAAGAAGATTTTTAAAACATCCCACTAATTTTTCACTATTTCTTAATTATCTCCCTTTTATTGAGGGTGTGGCCCTTTATTTGAACAAACTTGAATCCTCTTTACCCAAGGATGGTTTGTGGCAAGTTTGGTTGAAATAGGCCAGTGGTTCTGGAGAAGAAGTCGAAAATGTGAAAGTTTACAGACAGACGGACAGCTAGACAGACAGACAGACTACAGATAAAATGTGATCAGCAAAAGCTCACTTGAGCTTTCAGCTCAGGTGAGCTAAAAACAGATAGCAATAGGTCATGACTGATTCAGGTTATCTAATTAGTTATAACATTTTTTTGTGATTACATGTAAGTCAGCTCAGGTGCAAAATACTGCTCATCACTGATATAAATACAACAGTAAAATTTTAGACATAACCATATGTCTGACAATTAAATTCTATATAATAATAGAACTTACCCTCAGCATAAATCTTTCATAGCTTGGCATGGACCTATATGTTTTTGTGTCTGTTCGAAGTGTATACTTTTTGTCCTTGGGGTAAAAAAGAAAATATATGTTAAAAAAATTGCATTTCAGACTTGTAAAGCAAAACAAACAATATGAAAAATTACTTATTTTACTGATAACATTTAACATTTTCTCCTCTTGTGATTGAAATGTAATGCACATCATTACATGATATTATATGTATTAAATTGCAAGTCTAAAAGCAATGGGATCAGAAAATTTGATTTCTTTTTTAAGAGTTTTACCATAATGCTGGTTAAACTTTCAGAATCTGTTTTTGAAGTCCAGACTTGGCATTTAGGTGTTTACATAGGGGATGAGCTTCAGCCACCATCCTGGAGTGTACATTTAAAATCACATAAAAAAATCACAATCTCAAAATACATTATTTATATTCATAAGGACTGTATGAAAAAGACATCTGAAAAATAAGTGTTACATCCTTATTGCCCTAAAAGATAATTTATATTTCCTCTACATGTTTTGTAAAGAAATACATTGGGTGGGTGGAACTTTTTCCATCAAGGGTTTTATTGCATCTTATTGGTAAGCTAAAAAAAATCTTACAATAAATATTTTTTATAACAGTATGTTTTATACCTCACCTTAATTTTGATATAATGTGCCAGTGTTGATTCACACCTGGGCTGGGGTGCTGACCAAGACAGTTGACTGCGTCAATAATTTCTTACTTATTTGGTATACTAAGTTTACATTATGTTATACACTAAAATAAAAGAAACACACCCGTTAGTTTACATGCAACACAGTCTGAAATATAAAGTAAATAAATAACTGTTGATGTTATGTATATTCCTCACCGTTACTCCTAGCCTAACTCCAGACACTGTCTTGCAGACGTCAGACTTCTTACCAGTGACGTCACCCGTTAACGTAAATAAAATTTACGTACATTTTACATATTTAGTGTTATACGGGCGCTACCAACTGTATAATTATGTAATACCTATTTAGGTGAATTCCATTTGAGTTCTGTTGTGAAATTATCGTGATTTTCTTTTTTTTTTTTTTTTTCAAATCCAGCTTTTGCTCCTGAATTCGGAATGATTATATCTACCGATGATCGAGTTCAATTTTATGTGCCTCTACCAATATCCGATATACATATTACGAGATTGGTGTACTTGTATGTAGACTACATGTATGTTTTACTGCTCTAAGAGTAAATTATACACCAATGCGAACTGATTACTCCATGTCAGACATGCAAGTGGACGTAAGGTAAACAATGTGAAATAAATTGGAACATTAAAGACGCAAAACACGCACAACAAGTCAACAACGCACACACCTGTGAGCTTTCAGAGGTGATTGGGTTTTAATCATCATTATCATAGATCATGATATGATATTATTTTTTAAAAAAAAAAAAAAAAAGTTAAATTTTTAAAATATATTACAGTATAATGATTAAAACCCACGCAACTTATGATCTAGGGTCCCATTTTAAGAGGGATTTTATACTTGGACCAAGTTTGTCGCAATACTCTGTTTCATGAATTACAGGTTATTGATCAGGTCCGGCACAATCTCCTGATTAAGCTATATAGCTTGATTTAGCTATATAGCTTTATTAAGCTATTCAGAATAGCTTGATTTAGCTATTTTATCACACTTTTTTCTCAAATGTGTTATTTTCCAAGTATGTACAAAAAGTCGCACCTTGGTGCAGTGATGATATTCAACCTTGAACTCTTATGAAAATAATGCATGTAAAAATCACTCATCAAATTGCGTCTCCTTAAGAGACTTTATACTCAAAGTTCTAAAAGTTTTGGGGGCTATATAAAGCAATTGATACAGTTACCTCTTCAATGAAATTATAAAGGAGGCCAATTATGGTCAACAAGATAATTGATTGGTAATAATTCAGTACAATGAGAAGCAATCATACTTATCCATGCCTCAACTCACACAAGGTAGTGTACAGTTACCCAAACAATGGAAATTCATCTTTTGCTTAAAAGTATTCAAATGCTGCAATGTTAGAACTATCTTTGATTTGGGTTGTTGATTTGATAACCCATATTACATATGAATAGTCAAATACTTGCGACTTTTTGTCTATTTTGTACAAATAACATTTTTGTGAAAACCTGCATATAAATAGCTTTATCAAGCTATTTTGAATAGCTTAATAAAGCTATATAGCTATTTCAAGTTATAAAGCTTAATCAAGAGATTGTGTCAGACCTGCTGATTGTTAAACATTATCTTGATTAGTTCTCCAAATTCACTCTGAACTATTAAGTAAAAAAAAGCATTTGGTTTGAGGTGTACTTTTGTACAAAAAGTTCCTGTTACAGTATTTCAAAATGTCACCAGTTTAAGAATATTATATAGTCCCAGCAACAATAAAACTTTTAGGGATTTTTTTCACTTGTTGACAAAAATTAAATAATAATTTTACTAATTAATTAAACGAATTAAAAAGGATTGAATTTAATTATAGTTGACCTACATTTATCGTATACATGTATGTAAAAGTACCATTAATATAGAAAATATACAGCCTTTTCAAACACAGCCAGCTTTTCACACACATGTAAAACAATTTTTATTAACCTACATGTAACATAGCTGCTAACACTCATACTTGTCATTAATGTACATGTAATGTGTGGTTTTTAATACATGTAAACCATGCATATATTAACGTATGTATAACGTGTGGTTGATAATAAATGTAAACCCTGTGTGTGAAATATGTGTAATGTGTGGTTTATAATACACATGTAAACCGTTCGTTTATTAACGTATGTGTAACGTATGGTTGACAATACATATGTAAACCACATGTTCATTAACGTATGTGTAACGTGTGGTTGACAATACACATGTAAACCATGCGTTTATAAACGTATGTGTAACGCGTGGTAGCACATACCATACGTAACACGTACGTGAAACGTACGTAACACATACGTGTATTCCAACCGCACATTTCACGTACGCTATGTGAAACGTATGTTGTCACACGCATGTTATCCATACGTTATACCACGTACGTGTAACGTGCAGTTGGAATACACGTATGTGTTACGTACGTTTCACATACGTGTAACATATGGTATGTGCTACCATACGTTACACGTACGTGGCACAATTAGCTGTGTATAAATCTGTCAGATGTTGTTGATCATGTATCTTTTCTTTTCTATTAAGGATAAATAAATAACGCAAACAAACTTTTTTTTCAGAAATCTGCAATATTTCTCATAGATTTATATTCCAATAAGTACATGTAACATGATTAATGTTTACCAGGTAAAGTGGGAGAACTTTGTAAGATTTTGTCACGATGTTAAAAATATATGCAAAATTTTGTATAGAATTACATAGAAAACAAAATAAAGTCGCATATTTAAGCACCAAAGAAAACACGATTTCTTTATATTTAAGGGATTTATTATTTATTTCATTTCTATTCAAAATCAGTCATATATATATATATATATATATATATATATATATATATATATATATATATATATATATATATATATATATATATATATATATATATATCTCCAGGAATCATTTTTTTTGTTTGTGTTATGTATTCTTAAAGCAATTAACAAGGTGTCAGAGAGCTGTAGAGATGCAAAAGTTTATACAGTTCTCTACTGTATAATTACGGTTCTCATCATAGGTATTTTTCTCAACATATTTTTCATTATGCGGTTAGTTTTCAACGATCTAATTAAAATAAATAAATAAAGTTTTACATTATTCAATCGTGTTTGTGCTACATTATTGATATCCAAATCAAACTAAAATATTATTTAACTTTAATAGTGTGATTGAGGAGTAAGTTTCATTAAGACATTTTTTTGTGTGTGTTCAGAATAGACTATACCTACATGTAGGAATGGTAAAATTAATTTTGCTCAACTTTAAATCTCCAACTACATTATTTACACATTTACTTAATATTTGTAAATTCGCTACACCAAAATAAAATAAAATAAATAAATAAAAACTTCAGAAAAAAAAAGAAGAATAAACATATCAGCTGAATACATGTACAAAATGGAGAGAGAGAGAGACTTTAACTTACAAGTTATGATCGACTACTGAGGCAGATGTAATGCCTTCAAGTTTTTTTTTCAAATTAATATTGAAAGGGTTATTCATTTTCATCCCCTATACTTCAAATAAAACAGTCAAAGAAGTGAATAAAAATTTAAATAAATCAGATATGATATTTTAAATTTTTCTCCTTATTTGAATCTCTGTCATCAGTTCGTGGTTAAAAGTTTAAATTTTTACGTAATATTCATGTATCCATTGTGTATTTAAACGTAAGAACGAATGCGACATACATGTATATTGCGTTTGAACAACATATATATTTTAGGCTTTACATACATCAAAAACAACGTATTTGTTGTACAGAAATCCGTGTGTAACCTAAATTTGATGTTACTTATACGAAGAAATGCCACAGCTCTTTTTGCGAGATTGATATATCATATCATATATATATATATATATATATACCATGTTTACCATATGCGTCAAACGAATGATTAAAACAAAAGAATGTTAAATTGTTTTGAAGATTGTTACAAAAGGTTAAAAAGTTGATTGCCTGCATACTAAGTAACATGTGCAATGCACATTATCGTTTTTCTAAGAGACTGACACTGGAATTATTTTTTGAAAGGGGGACGGGGTAGGGCTATGGCTTTGTCCATGACGTTTTCATTAGGCTGTATATCTGGTACTTAATAAAACATATCACTTTTACCCATGTCTTTAGTTAGGTAACATCTATTCCTGTAAAATAATTCAAGGTAAGTGAGTATCTGTAATCTGTAGAATATTGTATGCATTCTTTTTACCTTGCTGCCATTTTTTTTTTCTTACATTTTCTCTACTGCGATTTTGAGAAGTATCTTGCATATTGACATTTTCTATGTGTTTAGAAATGAATTTGACTTGCGTTTATGATTTTTTACTTTCTTTAATATTGTGAAATAGCCAGATGCCTACAATGATAAAGAAGAAGGGCACTCAAAAATTCCTCACTTATATTTTTATAGAGGTAACATACGTGTAAAATACAAAGACAAGCATTTAAGGACGTACAACACACCCAAACCAAAAAGTTCCTGTGTTCTAATTTTCGTTATTTTTGTATGACTATATCTACTATTCGATGCACAATTTGGACAAAAATCGTTCGAGTTGTATTTGGACAGGAAGATCCAAAAGTTACTAACACACCCTCCTTTGGCTGTTCACAAGGAAAAGAAATTTAAGATCAACTAACTATAAAATCCTCGAT